CTCTCTCTCCCTACCTCTCTCTCTCTCCCTCTCTCTCTCTCCCTCTCTTCCTCTCTTTCTCCCTCTTTTTCTCTCCTTCTCTCCTTCTTTATCTCTCCCTCTCTCTAACTTTGCCATTCAAATAAGTAAAGTAAGTAAAAAAGAATAGTATTTTAACTCTTCCATTACATCAGGCCTCTGGCAGGTGGTGGTAGTGTTAACCCCAGAACATTACAGCCAAGTGCCTGAGCAGTCACCTGCCTCATAAGCTGGCTCAAATGTGACGTCCTTTGAGAAGTCCTCACTAACTCTGCACGGTTTTTCCCCCCACTTACCCTTCATATCTGACCCCTTTGTGACCCTTAGTGTTTCTGCCTTCCTGGATTTGGTGATAGTATCTTTTGCATTTATATCACATTGTGTCAAATAGATGGTTTGTCTCTTTCTTCCCTACACTGAACTCCTTGAGGGTGGATAGTGTTGTTTATGAATCGATGACAGCTTTTACAGAGTGTGGCATTAATAGATGATCAGTAAATGAATGAAATCAGTAAGTTATCAAGTAACTACACTGGTTTTTTTTCAAATATTTCTTTTATACTTTCCTCTTTCCAGGTCTCCAAAGTTGATACTCTGTTTCAGTGTTTTAACTAGTCTTTTTATCCTGTAATTTCTCTGCTGTAACCTATTAATGTCAGATGAGTGAAACTGCTTTTTTTGGAGAGCTTTGTGAAAATGTTCAATATCTTCCTTTCTATGGAATAAAGTCCACGTTCACTAGTAAGGACTTGAGATCTTTCTCACTATGTTTTCAGAATGTACCGTGCTTATTTCATATTGAACTTACCTACCTGCCTAACTTTATTCAACAAATATTTGAGCACCTGCCATTTGCAAGGACGTTTTTGAAGGAAGTTTGCTAAATTTGATACATGCTTATTTGTGTTCACTTTTAGGCCCTTGGGTCCTTTTACTACATTTCATCATAGGGGAAAATAATCCTTGGAGGTACTCAGCCATTTTCATGCTTAAATGAGAAGTTCTGTTTTAGATCAAAACCTGAATAACAGTGAGGTTTAGGATAGGTGGCTAGCCATCCAACACAATGTCTGGCTCATAGTAAAAGCTGGATGAATCTTTCAATTGAATTAATTCTGCTTAAATTTTTAAAGGTATAAAGTTAAGTTTAAGAGTAAAACGGGCTGTTGTGGCATACCAAGTTAAGCTGCCACCTGTGACACCAGCATATTCCCTAAGAGCGCCCATCCAAGTCCTGACTGTTGCATCTCATATCCAGCTCCCCGCTAATGTGCCTGACAAAGCAACAGAAGATGACCCAAATACATGGGCCCCTGCCATCCATGTGAGAGTCCCAGATGATGTTCCTGGCTGTCGGCTTCAGCCTGGCCCAGCCCTGGCCATTGTGGCCATTTGAGGAATGAACCAGTAGATAGAAGATCAAAATTCATTCTCTTTCTCTCTCTCCTCTGGTGTGTGTATGTGTGTGTTGATGACAACTTTTCAAATCTTTAAAACAAAAGGCTAAAGTTACTAATTTACTGTTTTAAGTCTTTGGAAAGCTGTACAGTTTTGTGACAGGATAGCTCAGCAGTTAACACTTGAACTTAATTTGCTATCATTATTTATAATTGTATCACTTTAAAGCACAAAGTCAAAGCACATTGAAGACACTGTGTTACATGTGTTTAAAGCTTTCTTTTTATACCCTCTATAGGTCATATGTAAAGTCAGATGTGCCACTGAACTTGACAGACACAAGTAAGTTCCATGAGTGTCTAATTTTTTATAAAAGTATTTATTAGTTCATTAACATTAGAGCTGAGTATCTAAAAACCATCTAGTTTTTTAAAGAGTAGACTTCTTAAAATAGAAGGAAGTGGTTGTTGAAGGGGCCTTAGCAGTAATACAGGAAATCAAGTGTTAGAGTGCCTCAAATGAAGTAGTTAAGCAGCTGATAGTTCTCTCCATTCAACTGTACTGAACAATACCCTTTTTTTAATATATGAAGCTCTGTCACCATTTTTTAAAACTTGCAGTAGCAATGTTTTTTAAAAAACTTGCAGTGGCAATGTCTGTTTTTTAAAAAGACAGTAGCAGGGGGCCAGCATTGTGGCATAGTGGGTTAGGCCACCACCTGCAATGCTAGCATCCCATATGAATGCTGGTTCATGTTCCAGCTGTTCCACTTTGATCCAGCTCCCTGGTAATGTGCTGGGAAAGCAGTGGAAGATGGCCCAGGTATTTGGGCCCGTGCTACCCATGTGTAGAACCCAGAAGAAGGTACTGGCTCCTGGCTTCAGCCCTGGCCTTTATGGCCATCTGGGGAGTGAACCAGTGGATGGAAGACTTCTCTCTCTCTCTCTCTAACTCTAACTTTCAAATCTTTTAAAAAGTAGCAAATATTGAAGTATAAACTTTTCACAAAATGTCTTTTGTACTAAAAATTTTCAGATTCCTCTGAAATTGTGGTCTTCTTCCTTTTTACTGAAGAGTTTTTATGAGATCTATTTTTTCTTATGGAGATAGGCATTTTATGTCAGAGTTGCTCTGGATGTGTGGTGAATGTGTAGCTTCATAGAGGCTGGGGTATTAAGGAGTGCTTAAAACATCCTATATTATCCTGCTGTTGTTCAGTTAACTTTGAAATCAGCATTTGCTATGGATAATCAGAGGTTCATAAGATTGAACAATGTTTAAAAATGTTTCTCTTGCATCTTAATATTGATAATTTTAGTACAGTATATGAATTTTCTAAGAAAATTATAAAAGCCTGATAATTCTCATGTTAAAGGGTCAATGAAAATATGCTTGATGGTTATATAAATGAAACATTAAGGGATTATTTGAAATGGTGTTAGAAATAGTCCTGTATTATTCTTCCTGGTAGAGGCAACTGAGTTCAAGTTCTCATGAGGTTATTTCTGAGTTGATGCTTAAAAATCTATGTGATTTTAAAACAGTACAGATAATTCTGAGAGTGTTATATTTGTGTTTAGTGAAATTAAAAACATTTTAAAGTGAAGGAATTTTTTACCTGAAACAGCATACTAATTCAGAGCTAAATTTCTCATTAGTTTTAATTTTATTTGTTTTATAAGTATCTAATACTTTTTTTTTCTTTCAGAATTCTACTGCATCTGGGCTTTATACTGGCAAGCCTTCTCTTTTTAGTAGTGAACTTGACTTGTGCCATGCTAGTCCATGGAGATGTTCCAGAAAATCAATTGAAATGGACTGTGTTTGTTCGAGCATTAATTAATGATAGCCTGTTTATTATTTGTGCCATCTCTTTAGTTAGTTACATATGCAAAATTACAAAAATGTCATCTGCAAATGTCTACCTCGAATCAAAGGTAAGAATATTTCTTAAATTTGCATTTGAAAATTTGATTTCATATCCTTATCCTGTGAACAATGTTTTAATGGCAAGTTTATATTGCTTTTATGTTGAATTTTTAGAAATAATCTAAATAACAGATACATATTTAAAAATATTTATTTTATTTGAAAGGCAGAGTTACAGAGAGGCAGAGGCAGAAAGAGAGAGAATGAGCAAGCGAGCAGGGTCTTCCATCTGCTAGTTCATTCCTCAGGTGGCCACAATGGCTGGAGCTGCGCCAATCCAAAGCCAGGAGCCTCTTCCAGATCTCCCACGCATGTACAGGGGCTCAAGGACTTGGGCCATCTTCTACTGCTTTTCCAGGCCATAGCAGAGAGCTGGATCGGAAGTGGAGCAGCCAGGCCTCAAGCCAGTGCCCATATGGGATGCCAGCACTGCAGGCAATGGCTTTACCTGCTATGCCTCAACACCAGCCCCCAGATACATTCTTAAGCATGGATGCATAGTCACTAAAAATTAAAAAGCATTCAAAATTTGGCCCTTACTAAACAATGCTTTAAGAAAAAGGGGTAGTCATTTGGCCTTCACCTACAGTCCTCTCAGAATGCTTGACTTCAAGTCCCGGCTCTACCCCTGATTCCAGCTTCCTGTTAATGCAGACCCTGGAAGGTAGTGGATGATGGCCCAAGTAGCTGGGTCCCTGCCACCCATTTGGGCAATGCACATTGACTTCCCAGCTCCTGGTTTCAACCTAACCTAGCTCTAGCCATTGCAGTGGATGGGAGACTGTAAATGCTTTCTCTCCTCTCTTCTCTTTAGATCATATAGGTCTTTGAACTTTTACTTAAAAAAAAAAAAGGAATGTAAAGAGAAAAAGAAGTGTGTGCTGAGAACATTCTATTTTCTGATACTGTGCTAGAGGCTGATTAGATGAAATAAGCCATAATTTGTATAAATGGGTTAATACGGTCTATAAAGCAATACTAAGATTTTATTCAGTAAGGGTTGTGGTATTGCCATTCAACAAATTTACCAGGTGATATATACACATGGGCTGTCAGTGTTAAGATGTCATATAGGTAGAGTTATGTTTATTTGTGTAAAGGTTTAGAAAATGTTATTTCACCTATTTATAATATGAAGTCCATATGAAGTTTGAAATAGCTAGTCACATAGCTAAGTTTATAAATATCTTGCCTCTCCCTTTTCTTACCCTTTTGATCAATAAAAGCCAAGTGCTAACCCATTAACAAAGGGACGTTTATCCCCCATTAAACCAGGAACGTTTTTATTGTTGTTGATTGACAATGTAGTTGAGCGGTGACTCGGTCATAAAAGTGTATATGTGGCATTAGGAGTGGGGATGTAGATATGTGGATATTGAAAGTGTGTACATACATTTTTACAGTCACTTGTCTAGGAGAGCTTGTCTTAATTTGGTGTCATTGCCTATACACTGGAGATAAGGAAGACAGTATCTTAAACAGTATCAGTTCTCTTCTCACTTGCAACCCCTACTTCTGCGTTTCTTTCAAATTTGCCATTGTTAACATTCCCTCATTGAGTCAGATTTAAATTTGGAGTACTCTCATGTTTCTGCATTCCTTGTTATCTGAAACTAACTTCTGTTGATTTTTTTCATTTAAGAATTTTCTTCTATCCATTATCCTCCATTTGAGCAATTTATCAGGAAAGGGAACCTAAGGAGCCTATCAGTACCCACTGTGCACCAGGAATTGTTGGTTACCTTTCACGTTGTCTCACAGAAATTCTCTGCAGTGGTCTGTGATACTATGATAATAATAACACATGTATGTTTGTTCTTTGCCTTGGTTCCTAGGACCTAGTTCCTAAAACTCTTGGAAACTCCATAGTGATGTCTTTTGGATGTTCATAAAATAATAGGTAGCTAGGGGCTCCTGGATAGCTTCTGGATGAGGGCTGGTCACCAGAAAGACCCAGGCATGATTACAGAGAGTGGGACATTCAGCCCCATCCCATCTCCAGATTCTGGGGAGGAGAGGGAGCTGAAGGTCGAGTTGCCCACCGATGGCAATCATGCCTCGGTAACAAAGCCTCCATGAAGACCCTAAAGGATGGATTTGAGGGTGTTTCCAGATTGCTGAACATGTGGGGGTGGCAGCTCCTCGGCCTCCTCTCCTGTACCTGGCCCTATGTATATCTCACCCATCTGGTGTTCATTAGCATCCTCTGTTATGTCCTTTGTAGTAAACTAGAGGTTTGCCCTGGGTTCTGTGAGATGTCCAAACAGATTAATTTAGGGAGGGGTAGTTGGAACTCCAGATGTTAGCCACTCAGAAGTATAAGTGACAACCTAGGATCTGCAGTTGGCATCTAAAGTGGGCAGAAGTGTTGAGGGCCATCTAACAACATATCCAAGTAGAGTTAAATTACAGGACATTCCAGTGGTGTGTGCTGGAGAAATCCTAACACATTTTGGTGACCAGCAATGAAGTAGTGAATTAGGTGGTGAGTGGCATATGAGAACAGAGAGTAGGAAAAGACTTTTTCTCCTTGAGGTGGTCTTATTCCTATCTTACAAAGAAAACAGAGGTGGGGTGTGGAGCTTAAGAGGCAGAGGCAGTGTGACTCCTACGGCCTTACATGACCTGGCCTGTACGTATCTTTCTGACTTCCTACCTCCAACAGTCTCCTCTTCCTATTCCAGCCACTTGGGTTTTTGCTGTCCAGTTCCTCACCACAAACACTTACTAAGTTTGTTTCAGCCATACAGACTTTGTATATGTTGCTCCCTCTGCCTATATTGTACTTCCTACAGATACGTGTGTGTGATGGCGTCTCTGCATTCAGGCAGAAGTCACTTTTGTTCAAAACTGGCATTCTTTTTTTTTTTTTTTTTTGACAGGCAGAGTGGACAGTGAGAGAGAGAGACAGAGAGAGAAAGGTCTTCTTTTTGCCGTTGGTTCACCCTCCAATGGCCGCCGCTGCAGCCGGCGCACCGCGCTGATCCTGGCAGGAGCCAGGAGCCAGGTGCTTTTCCTGGTCTCCCATGGGGTGCAGGGCCCAAGCACCTGGGCCATCCTCCACTGCACTCCCTGGCCATAGCAGAGAGCTGGCCTGGAAGAGGGGCAACCGGGACAGAATCCGGCGCCCCAACCGGGACTAGAACCCGGTGTGCCGGCGCCGCAAGGTGGAGGATTAGCCTATTGAGCCACGGCGCCGGCTAAAACTGGCATTCTTAATCACTCAGCTAAGATTATCTTCCTTTCAGATTATTGTTGTCTGTCCCCTCTTTTATTTCTTCATATCATTTATCAGGAGCCAACATTATTTGTTCCTTTGCACACTTATTTTATTCTCCTTTCTAAAACATAAATGGAAAATAGTTACCTTGTTTACTTTGTTCATTTTTCTATCCCTTTTATTTAAAACAGGGGTGGGGAAACATTTTATATCAGGGGCCCTTTGAATATTTATAACATCATTAACAGGCCATACAAAATTATCAACTTAAAAGTTAGTCTGCTGTAGACTGACTGGATTTTGAGTCCCACCTGTGTTTGCCATTGGCAGGGCCAGACCGAATAGCTTTGTGGGCCTTATATGGCCTGCAGACCAGATGTTCCCCACCCCTGATTTGAAATAATGGCTGGCACCCAGGGGCTGTTCAGTAACTCTTTCTTGAATAAATACGTTCCAAGTTTGCACAGTTTTCTCCAGAGCAGCTTTTCCTTAGCAGCTGTAGGGAAGTTCAGACTTTTTCTCTGAGGGTTCAGTCATCTAGTCAGCTGAAAGACAATGAAAGGAAAAAGACAGACTTACCTCTTGTTTGACCAGACTCCAAAGGCGGAGAGACCCAGGGCAAAGACCTGTAAGGAATTCCTTACCTGTTTGCTGGCTCAGCTCGTCAGGTTCTCGGCTCTCCCAACTACAGCCTCCTGAGGAGCAGAGGTTTTGGAATACCTGCTGACCATGCCAGAACTACAGGACTGAAGGAATTTCTCCCCACCCCATGGGAGGTTTGAGTCTTTAAATCCACTCAGTAAACTGGCAATAGATCAAAAGGAGAAAAAGCATACAAATTTATCAACATGTATATGTCATAGGGCCATATAAAATATAAAAATATTTGAGGCTTAAGTAAGTTCTTCAGAGAGAAGAAGGAAGTAAAGGGTGTAGGCACTTTTAGAGTAGTGGTAAAATATTTTTAGGGGAAACAAAATGGACCCAAAGAGTAAACAAAGCTCTTCTGGGTTCTGGTGTTTGATATCCAGTCTCTTCTCAGGTGGTTAACCTTCCTGGTGAATGAGATGTTGTAGTACCTGCAATCCTTCTGGGAAGGGAAAAAGCCTTTCCCTGCACTTTAGGAGGGAAGGATGATGGATGAAGCAGGGTGGGAGACAGACAGACCTTACTTCTAAAACTGTCAGCCAGTCAGCATGTCAAAGGGTCACACTTGGGAGCATGGTTTGATTACTAACTAAATGAGCTTTCTCAACTAGATTGTTTTAAGAGCTGATTGAACCAACCAATCAACATTCCCAAGGTCACATAGTTGAAGCAGATTCGGTCTCAAATGGGCCCACAGATCTCTGCTAGTAACCATTTACATAACCCTGTGTCTACTCATCATCTTTTAGGTGTAGAGCTAGAAATAGTAATTAATGCCATTCCACATGAATTCTTACTAGATGTTGGCTTGTTATTCTCCCTAAAAAAATTATCTGATACAAGTATAAATCATTTCCTCTGTTCCATCAGTATTTGGGTTCACTTTTTATTTACTTTGGACATTTTCACTGGATACATATTAAATGCTCTAATTTAGATTTATTTGATATGCAAATACATATCCATGTAGAAATTTACCATCCACATTTCTGGATGTGTAAACTATTTCCAAAAGACTTGCAGAGAGGAAGGAATAGGTACATATTCTTCATATGTTTGGCAGATATGTTTCCATTTCTGTTAAAATGCTAATAATATATAATTTTGTTAAGAATTCTTATGTATGTTTAATTAAGAATA